GAGCCACTAAGATTAGAGATTGCAACCTGTTTAAGATAAAGAAATATATCGCAGTCCATTCTAAGTGCAATGGTGCCCTTATGAAACAGGATCATTGTCAGGCGAAGAGTTGGGTGGTCGGTCATCTAGTACAATCAAAGTTTACTGATGTTTCTCGCACGTACAAGCCGAAGGACATCATCCAAGATATTCGTGAGGAGCGGTGTAAATATAAGTTACGACAAGCCCTGGCGTTCGAGCGAAGAAGCACTCCGACTTATCAGAGGGGATCCAGCTTCATCGTACGGGCTACTACTCGCTTATGGGGAAGCCGTGAAAATCATGAACCCAGGTACTATATTTAAATTGGAGTTGGATGATAGCAAGTAGTTCAAATATGTCTTCATGGCCATGGGTCAATCAATTAGAGGTTTTATGTGTTGCATTCGACCAGTTTTGGTTATTGACGGGGCACACCTTAAAGGGAAGTACGGAGGTGTATTACTATCTGCTTCTGCTGTTGATGCGAATAACCAAATATACCCAGTTGCATTTGCAATAGTCGGGAGTGAGAGCGTCACATCATGTGTATGGTTTATGACTCAATTGAAGAGTGTTGTCGACACCGTTCAGAACTTGGTATTCATTTCTGATCGACATGCCAGCATTTGTAAAGCGATTGATGAGGTATTTCCTACTACATTTCATTGCTTTTGTATACATCATCTAAAGATGAACTTGCTGGCCAAGTTTAAAACGCCCGCGCTAGAGGTATTATTTTTTAAGGCTGCGAAGGCATTTTGCGAGTCATATTTCAATGAGAACTGGGTCCAACTGTGCGCACACCCAGGAGTTAGGGAATATCTGGAAGCTATAGGAAAGGAACGATGAGCTCGCTGCTTTCAGACGAAACTAAGATACTCACAAATGACCACTAATATTGCAGAGTCCGTTAATGCCCTTCTCAGGCATGCACGTAAGTTGCCAGTCACCGCATTACTTGATCATATCATAGGTGTGTTGCAGAGGTGGTTCTACGAACGTCAGACGCTTGCTTCTTCACGTCAGAGTACGTTGTCTGACTACGCAGAGGAAATGATTGCCGAAGCTTCGGATAATGCACGGAGACACATTGTGATGAACATCGACCAGTTTAATTTTGAGGTACGCGACGGGAACCTGAATGGGGACGTTGACTTGCAATGCAGACGTGTACTTGTCGGGAGTTCGATTATTTTAAAGTTCTGTGCTCCCATGCTATTGCTGCAGCCAATTCTCATAGCATAAATCCGTACACACTATGCGATGAGGCGTACACAGTCAACAGTTGGATGTTGGCATATGTAGAACCAATATTTCCAGTGGGTTCATCCTCAACATGGAAGAGTTCTTCGGGGTTTGTGAATATCGATATTCAACCACCGAAGAAGGTCGTTAGGGTTGGACGGCGACAAACGGTGAGGATTCCTTCCACAGGCGAGGTCCGTCCACCGCGCAAGTGCAGTCGATGTGGTACATCGGGACACAATCGTAAAACTTGTCGCGAACCACTAAATACTGTGTAGCAATATTATAGATAATTACGTTGTAATATGTAGACATTTATGTACCTAAAAAAAAATTTATTACAAGGACTAATACATTGTATTTTGGTAGATATGAATAGGTAGCTTCTACCGCAAGTAAGAATCCATGCATATGCACTAACAATATGTTGTTGTTCTTTCATATATGATTACAACTTGTTTTATGTAATGTTACTGTTCATCAGTGACTACAGTTAAAAAAAAGTATGCTAAAACAAATTAGGATAAGTCATATTTAGGTCGGTGGAAAAAAAATCGATACAAAGAATAATTACAACTAAAAAAAGGGTCTACGAGCCCACATTTGTACAGCATATTGACGACGAAATAAAGAAATGTTACTTTGAATCAAAGTGTCTATCTTTGACCCAATTACATCGTACTCGAAAAATCTAACACAAAATATGCTGCAATCTGTGAACCCGGCTTGCTGAGGTACAGTACATCTTCGGACCCTCCATGGCACCATAGGCAGGTTGGGCCGAAGTGCGAGTATCCCGCTCCAATGAAGAATCGCCGGGATTATCGTACACATTGGCTTGAGTGCCTTCTCGAGATCCTCCAATGGGGTGATCGCTTGCAGTGAGTCCCATACAGTTAAATCACCCTCCACAAGATCAATCCCGATCATAACCCAGTGGTTGCCGCCAATATTCATCCGCGTGTACACGATATCGGCCTCGCTCCATAGGGTGTCGTAGTCCGATTGTCGTCCAAGCACGTACCGAAAGATGGTACGCTCTTGCCTCCAATCATACGTACATTTCGACGGGAGGACACCCGGCTTCATGGCTGCATATGGTCCGTCTGTTCGTCGTAGCAAGTTCTGCAAAGAGAAAAACTCCCACAAACGTCATTCACGTATCGAAGTAATATCGTTCGTTACATACATGGGGGAAAGGTAAGTTGAACTTACGGAGAGAAGTACGTCGCCTATTGCGAATTGCACACGCAATAGATGTTTACACTTCTCAACCTTCCTCGCTGTTAGCATCATGAGCGAGTCGATATACTGCATGTGACATTATAAAAAGTATAAGTCTATAATTAAAAACAACTTTGCTGCTTCTAAACTTCACTAACCTCGTCGTCGAGTTGAAACTGAGGATCCAGGAGCAGTCCAAACCAACTCTTATATTTTATCCCGACAGACGTTGAACGAGAATTGTCGTCGGTTGATGGGTCGTCCATCCATTTCTGGAACCCCTCGTCTAGAAGCGGTGGGATGGGGCATGTAGGGTCGTACGATTGAACTTTGATACCACGTTGGCCGGTGGGCGTGTATATGGCCTGCAACTTCCACGGATATTTCCTCTTCCGAAGACCCTGGCCAAGTGGGCCTTCAATAAATTCAGGTTCAACCTGGAACAAGTATAAAGGAAGTTCAATACAACACTTAATGACGTTGGA